AATTAAAATACCAATGTCGTGAGCAAATAAAACACTTTTTTTTTTTTTTTTTTTTTTTTTTTTGTATTTTAACAGGATTATATTAGAGGCGACAGCAAGAATAAAAATGAGAATTGATGAGAACAATGATATTCGAATCGATGATGGTGCTAAAATATAAAAAGAAAAACAAAACTACGAAGTTTTCAAAAGGAGAACAATATAACTGTGTATTTTCTATTACGTATCTCACCAGAGCCTGTTGGGTTAGTCCCGGACTCGATCGTGTCCGAAGATTTTTGACCCGACGAGTTCTACTCTATACATTTTCCAGATGACATGTCTGAGAAATGTATAGGGTGCACTAGTCATCGAAATACAAGAAACCAAAAAACATTATATCTACAAGATATCAAGTTTTCAAAATTTAAGCACTTTTTGTGACACTGTCTATATAACTAATCTAACATAGAACTCTGTTATTGTAAAGTTTCTTGCCGAAAGTCAAAACTATTAATATACTTACAAATTGAAGTGCTGAAGAAAGCATTCACTAAAAATTCGATCTCACTGGTAACTAGCAACTTGCGTCCATTTCGTATTAGGACTTTTGTAGTTCAGTGATTCTTTAATGAAGTCGAAGACTTTTTAGCACTTGAGTATATTCCCTTATAAGTCATTGTTCATTTCATTCTACAATCGTTTGAATGAGTATTAATGAATCATGGATTTGCTAAAAAAAATCTTTTTACTATATAATCAATCGGTAGTTTAGTTCATCTTAAATCTGTTAATTGAAATGACTTTAAAAAAAAACATTTATTTTTCTTTTTTTGCATTTAGGTTTTACATAAAAATCTAATGCTTCTATTCGAGCGACAGTCGCAGCCTGCATTTAGCATTTAACAAAACATCAACGAAATCAGTTAACAAATTTGACTCAAATCACATAGTTGTAATTATCCTTTTTACAAAATAAAAAAAAACAAATAAAACAGTGTGACGAACAGAAGATAACGAAACAGATAGTGTTTGGAAAAAGCACTGTCTAACTACTTTGATAAGAGCGCTTAAAGTTTCCCTTTCAACTTATTTTGTCAAAGAAAAAAAAAAGAAGTTTTTCCCATCGGTGTAAAAACCAGCCAGTTCGATCGAACACGCATTAAAACTTTGTAACATATACAAAAATTAATAAACAAAAAATAGTTGCTTATCACATTTGAAAAGTAGTCATTAACTCACCATGACAAGGTACTTGATCAGCTGGTGCACATCGTCCAATATTTCTATTAAAACGTTGTCCATATGAACAACGACTATGATTTGCTACACGATTATCAAGACATTGTATATATGATTGACAATTTGGCTTTGTTCGATCAAGATAAAATCCATCACTATGACCAGAACATGATGGAACAAAATCACATAAAGTTTTACCAACATCATAATTAGATAAATAATGACCTAATATATACAAAATGAAATAGAAATTATTTATATCAATATAAAAGAAATTCTTCTTACATTTACTTAAACATTGTCGACGTCCATCACATTTAACTTTTTTGTATGGTAAACATGTACGAGTTTGGATATCAAATAAATTCGGATGTGTACATGTTTGAGGTATTAATTTACCTGATATACATTCATAAAAATGACAACAACTTGTTGTATCTACAAATCGTGCACCTTCATTCTTTGGTGTACATTTATTTTTACCTATAGAAATAAATTATTTTGAATATCAATATATACATACATATATATACATAACAAATATTTTATTACATTGAACATTTGGTGCATGATCACAACTTTGTTTTTCTGGATTATATTGAAGTTGTGCTGGACAATATGATACAAGATCTGTACCATGATAACAATCATGATAAATTGAACAATCATATGGATCAGGTACACGCCATGATTGTGTTGGAGGACATTCAACTGTTGGTTTATATACATTTGATGATGGCAGTGGAGGTGGTGCATCTGTTAGAATATATGATGCTGGATAAGTCGTACCACGTGGAATCCATGGAGCACCAGCCGCTGCCCCGATCGAAGGTTCTGGACTTAAATTCTTCACCGGACCTGCAATATATATATATATATTCTAGGTTATGATATAATATGAATTATTATAATCAAATTTACAATCGGATTGTACTGGCCAAACACACATTCGTTCATGTTGTGACCAAAATAGATTTTTTGTGCATATTTTCGCTTGTGATACACCTATGATGATTATTAAATTTTAAAAAAAGTAATAATTTTTTGTCAAATTTTAAATAAACAAATGGAATCGTCTTTTCTGTTTCCTGTTCGCTAATTGTACAATGACTACATAAATGTAGGACAATATACTAAAATCGACTAGACCTTTCCTGTTTATTCTTATTGCTCTCTCTTAGTAAATAAATAACATGAAGCTTTTCTATTCTTAGTTTAGGATGAATCAAGATTAATTGTTCGAATGCAGACAAGACAAGATGTGCATTTGATCTATTGACTCGATGTCCACACGTCTCTTGCTCGAAGAAAAAAAAAATGAAGACGAAGAAAACGACAGATGAGATGTCACGTTTCTTACCGTTTGCACAATAAGCATATCGTTTACAATCAGTCGGATGAGCTACATAGTCGTTATCAATTGATCGACATAAATATTCGAATATTGAATCACTTATGGATGGATAATGTGAAGGATATTTTCCTCGATTAAAAATCTCACCGGCAGATGATGAAGGAATTGGATAATCAAAATCTTTCAAACAAAACAAAGCATTAAATCAAGATACAAACAAAATAATAATAATAATTAAAATTTTACCAGGAGGATAAAGAACATGTGTTGGCATTGTTGGTGGAAGAGCATCTTCATAAGATGTTTGATTACAATTAACCTAAAACAAGAGAGAATTTCTTCATTTTTTGTTGTGAAAACGAACAATAGAATGGCTTTGATTTTTTTTTTTTTTTCATTTACATTCATTGCCCAATCACATTCGTTTTTTATTGGATTGAATAATAGTTCTTCTTTACAAGCTTTTACTGAATGTGTAGAACCAACACAGATATGATAAATCCAGCAATCTTTTTTATCCGGAAAAAAACCATCTTTAACACATTTAAATGTTTCGGATCTTATTAATTGAATAATAACTAAAACTATTTTAATATATGTATGTTGTTTTTGATTACGAAAAAATTTTAATCACTTACAAATTATTGTAAAGTAAAATAAACGTCGATCTGACTGATTAAGCATGATGATAATCTAACACTCATTGTGTTCATTATTAAAATAACATTTTTATTGTTCACTTTGAACATTTATCTGAATCATTTTTTTTTCCAATGTTACATTAGCATAGCCTAGAAGAAAGAATGTTGAAGCAAATTATCGTGTTGTAAAGGTTGGTCAAAAAAAGAAAAAAGAGCGTCAAACGTATTTATTCTCTCTTTCTCTCTGTGTGTTTGTCGTATGAACAAACAAACGAACGAAACGACGAGAAAAAGAAAAAGTTATTTAAATAAATGTTAATACCTGCACCAACACCGATCAGGAAGTAGAAAGAAGAAGAGCGATGACCTAAATTGTACGAAAAGAACAAAAAAAAAACTTATCAGTGAACCTCGAAAAACGAAAAAAAAAAAGAAAGGAGAGAAGTTGATGATAAGCTCAATTCGTTCTTGAAACTAATCTTTTTTTTTTCTTATACAATTGAGAGAAAAAAACTTTGATGAAAAATATTTATTATGAAGGATATATACATTGTATTTAAGCCTTGTTCATTAATTGAGAAACAAAAACTATCTTATATGAAGATTTTTCATACTTAACATTCGACAAAAGATAGCGTTAAAAGAAGGACGACAAGTGCGTGATTAGTCAAAGGTCGATTACGTAAATCTGTTTTTTATTCTTTTAACCAAAAAAAAAAATTACTTACGTGTGTATATATGTATGTTCTCTTTATGTCATCTCAAACACATTCTTTAGTTATTGTAATGAAAATGAGAATGTCTTTGTACAACAAAGTAAGGGTCATTTTTTTTTCTTTTTTTCGTTAAGTATCACGCCCAAGGATTAAGTATTGTGGTCACAATGTGAACGTAATTAATCAATGTAAATTTGATCATTGTTTTTTTCATTCTATAAAAATTTCAACTATTAAATCATATCGTCAAAACGAATATTATTATTTATTTTCTGATTATAAAAAAAAATGTATAGATTTATTTTGAACTTAATAACAAAATAGAACAATCATGCATTAATGATGAATGATAAGATTTAATCGATAAAGATTATATACACCTATATATAAAGAATTTTAATCTTAAAGAAACTATCGGTCATTTTCTTTTTCATCATTCACATACTTCTGTTACCGATGTTATAACAAAAATCAATAGAGAAAATGATCATTATTTTAAAGAAGAATAGACAATATTTGGATATTTAATAATATGATAACAGTTTCAAAATCTAATGATTTTCATAATTTTAAAAAGAACAGGAAAATTCAAGGATTTTTCTAATGTCAATTTTATAAGAGATTTCATGATACTTTTTCTTGTTTATCCTATGTCTAATACTAAAAGAAACTACACAACTTGAAGTTGATTTATCATTACATCATCATGATCATCATGAATCTTCTTCTTTTCGTATCGAAAAAACTAAATTGTTTTTATGTAAATGATTTTATTGCTTTTGTATTACCTTCTAACTTACATAACCTTCATAACATTCTTCTTTGGATTTTCTTTTATCATTGAAATTATCGATTGTTATTATTCAATAGGAAGTGTTTCTTATTCTTTCTTGAAGATCGAAAAAAAAAACGTCAACGTATCCAATAAGGAGAATAGACTTTATATAATTTGTTTCTAATGTCTAGTAGAGTTATGACAAGCAATATTCGTTCTGAATACGTTTATAGAAAAAAGGAAAATATAACATACAGAAAAAAAAGATAGAACATATGTTCGCAAATATGATTCAACTAAAGACAAGACTGAACTATACAAGATAATCAAATAAATTCGGATCAAAAAAATGTTTTAGTTTTCAAAATGAATTATTGCTATCACTACTAATGACACTTAATTTCTCCATTGTATCAATAAGTTGACGTTGTATGAATTTGTAATCCGGATTAGACGATGCCATTCGTTCAAGACGATATTCCAGTTGATCTCTAAGAAAAATAAATTAATATAGAATTCATTAATAATGAGATGATCAATTGAAAATTCATGCTAATCTCCAAAGTTCAACATTGTCGAACAGAATAAAGTGGAGGCCGAAAAGTTTAGAAACACATTCGTTTTTTCACTGTTTTTCTTAACAGTAAGAACTGAAAGAAGTTAGAGAAAAGGTTTGAATAGCTGAAAAAATTTTCTATCAAGTGAAATATTTGCTAAATTTTCATTAACAGGTTTGAACGAAAGATATCTGGAAAATCAAGACTCCCAAAACCAGTTTTCTGGGTTCTGTTCAGAAATTAATAGAACAATGATTGCCGTTCACCTAGGATAGATCGTGAAAAGCTCATGAACATCAAAATATTTTCTCTATCAGATGAACTTGTTTGTTGCACAACATTTTTGATAGAATCTCGAAAACTGGTTCTTTTTTGCAAGTCTTGGTTTTTCAGAAGTCTATCACTCAAATCTATTAATGGAACTTTCCTTTTGAGAAGAAATTGTTTCAGCTAATCAAATTTTTTCTTCGATTTGTTCAAACTGTTATCACTAATGAACAAAAGTCAAAAATCAGATAATATTAGTCTTAATCGTTGAACAAGATTTTGAAATAAGCTGAATGAATTAACTGATAGTTCTGCATGATTTTACTAAAATTTGAATATGTTNGCTAGTCTGGCACAAGAAAAACCAGAAAAAAATGGCTTATGGAATGACTGTAAGTTTGGATAGAAAGAAAAAAAAAACAACATGATTTGTTTTTTTTTTTTTATAAATATTCTATATATGATCACTATTTGATTATGTATTGACCCAGCATTACAGATGCCATCAAAACGTTTCGAAATGTCATTGATAATGTTCCAACAGAAGTTGAAGTACTTGATCGTTCAGCAAATGGTTCATATTTTGTAAATTTATTTGTTACGACACATGATATTCAAGTAATTGTGCACGATTCCAAACATCAGTTTCCGTCTCATCTCGTGTTACACAACATAAATTAATACGTAAAGCTGCTTTTGATATAACAAGACGTTGAGCATCAAAACAACGATTATAAAATTCACTAAAAGATATAAAGAAAAAAACTTATATACATATGGTAAAATATGATTATTAGTTTTTTTTTTTTTTTTTTTTGATTAATAAAGATGAAAGATGAATACATACTTCATTTTTGAAAAAAAATTATCACTTTGTGTAAGATCATCGATTGTTTGTAAGAAGAAACTATGTGGATGTCTTGCTGATACAATAATAACATTCTTACAAAATCGACCTAAATGTGATTCATATGTAAAACCATTCGAAAAGTCATCGACTAGAGAATAACAAAACAAAATTCGTCATAAAGTATTTCATATAAGTTAAAAATAATTGTTTTACTAGGAATGAAATCGTCATTGCAGATAATTGGAGTTTTTAATGCTGATCTGATTTCTTTCTAAATAAAAGAATGTATAATATAGTAAAAACTTAAACAAAACAAAATGATCTTATTACTCTTTGTTCATTTGTTGGTATATTATCATAAATAGGATCGATAATGGAAACGTGTGTTTCTTTAAGATGATAAGATAATATCGAATGTTGATTGTTGAATTGTGAATCTGTAGAGAAAAGAAAATTAATAATTGACTTAAAAGAAAAATCAACTACTGACTATTAGAAATTGGAGTACCGAAATTTGTATTCGGTTGTGACGTACTTGCAGGAAAACGGTGCGCCATTTATGAAATATAATCTGAAAACTATTTCAATGAATTAAAAAGAAAATTTTGTTGCAATATTTAAATAGAACACAAAATGGAATTCTAGAAAGATTTTGCTCACGAAATAAAAAGATAATAGATCATTTTATAAGTATGCAGTCCCAGTTTCACTCGGATTATTGATCAGTTAGAATAATATTCGATCGAATGGACACTATAGATATTGACGCCACATCTGACTTATAATTAGTCGGGCGGATATGAAGTTGCGTTGATACACACTCTATTTGACATCTGAATGAGCTGTTACCCAATCAGCCTGGAACTGGTGTATGTTTATTTAACAATTTTGAAATAAAAATTAAATTTTTTATATTTTATTATAGAATCAGTTATTTTTGAATCTACGCACAAAATTTTTTTCCATCGTTATTTTCTTATCTACAAGAAAAAAATTCGATTAATATTTTCATTAATAAAGTATATAAAGCGAACAAGATTATCTTGTTTTTTTTTTTATTTACTCTGTTTTATTTAATATACTTGAAAAATTAGGTAATTAACATAATAACTTAATAAAAAGAAAAGAAATAATATAGACAACAATCTAATATAAGAAATAAATATCAACACTGTTTAACCTAAAATAAAAAAGAAAAGAAAATATAATAAAAATACTTAATATATATTTATACTTGATCACTGGTATCAATTTGTTTGACTGGACGTTGTGCACGTCGACATGGATAACGACTTTGTTTTTTTGTTCGTGCTATTGTTGATTGTGATTCACAGCTCGTATCTTGAGAATCTGTTGCTAAAATAAAGAAGATATATGATGAAAAATATTTCGAATCATAATTAACATACTAGATGTATTACTATCCGATGTTGCACTAGCTGATGGTGGAATTAATAATTGTGTTGAATCTTTTTCAACTAATATGCCTTGATCATTTGATGGACTAGCTTCTGTAAGAGTTACTACTGGTAAATGATTTTTACCTAATTCAGTTAATATAAGAAAATAAAAGAAATTGGAAAGTTTGAAAAAGTTACTTGTTTTTTTTGACTTTAATGTTTTTCTTTTTAAGACTAAAGACGGATCATTGATGTCATCCTAAAATAAAGAACGTACACAGTGTTCTAAAAGATCATCGGGATGAAAAAAAAAACATGAACAGCGATTTTCATGAAATCTCTATAATCTCATTCGGATTCCGTTTAAATTTTATTCAACATAGTTCAGATCAAATACCTATACCATTAAACATTAGGACTGAAACACACAAATGAACATAATGTTAAGAGATCTTTAAAACACTTTCATAAAACTGATACTAGAGTAACATGTGGGCTTCCTCCACAAATGTGACAGATACGTTAGAGATATGTGGACAAATATGATCCGAAATAGATAGAATAAAACAATCTGTTTGTGATTAAAGAAAGTATCTACATCGTGTTTCATTTTTAATTCCATTAGGATTGTACTAACAACTTTTTTTTCAATAATAGTCAGAATTATGACAACATTCAATAGATAGTTCAACAAAATCAGGTGTCTTCGAATTTCAACAAGGAAGTGCATCAGCTTCTAGACAGCATTTTTACTAACATGTCAATTTAAAGAGGTGACTCTTTTCAATGAGATTCATATTTATTGGACTTAGAATCTCTCGAATTCTTTATGTGAAAATACATGAAAGACAATGTCTGCAAGAAAAATGCAATGTTTTCAATAGAAATTCTATTGTATCTTTCATTTTCAAAAATTTTAAAACAGCAGATTGGTGAATTTTATTTCAGTGTGACTATTTTGAATAGCGAGCGCAAATAAACTTATGCAAAAAAAAACTTTAAAAGAAGTTAAAAAAAATAATAGAAAGTTTACATGTACGACTTGAATTCTTCAACACTCATTTACATTCTATTTTCTGACAGATTTTAGAACATCCTGTATTTAATATTTAAACAAAATACCTCGTTAGTTTTTGATAATTTTGTCCTTATTTTATTTCGTTTATCACTACAATTACTCGTTGTACTAGCTGATGATTTTGTTCGATCTCGAGTCTTTCGTTTTGATCGTTTAGTCTCCAATTGTTCATCCTAAATATAATTTAAGAAAGAAAACTTTCAAATAAATAAAATAATCTCTTACAATATCATGATTTATAGGACGTTTTTTTGACCATTCATTTTCATTCGTATCTCTTGTTGGTATTAAAGATATATCATTATTATTTGCTTTATGCATAGCAAGCATTTCAATTTGTAATGAATCATATCTTACATGAATTGATTTTAATTCTTGTTTTAATTGAATTAAATCTTGTTGAATTTTTTTATTTAAATTTTGTTCAATTTTTATTTTATCTTCATAATAACGTACTTTTCTTTCAGCTTCTTGCTTTCGATATTCTTCTAAGACAAGATCACGTTTTATTCGTTCAATTTCATCAATGAATGATTGAATTTGTTCATTATATTCGTCTTCATGTTGATGATTTTCTTCCATTTTTTTACTATATTCAATAGTAATACGTTGAAACTTTTGTTCGGTTACTTGTAATTGTACACGTAAAAATTCATTATCACGAATAAGACCGTCACGATCATGAAGTTTTTCTTCAAGACTTTTTATATTTTCATCTTTTGTACGTACTTCATTACGTAAAGAATCGATTAATTGAGACATCTTAATAAAAGACACAAAAAAGAATGCATAGTATGAACGACTAAACATTATTTATGAAAATATTAATTCATTTTGGATATTACTATATGTTAAATTTCGCTTTCGAGTATGTATGAAATAATGACATGTTGATATGAGTGTACTAGATATTGCTAATTATTGATATATAAATTATTGTTCATATGATAAAGAGAAAGATTCGAATTCGTGATACAGAATATTTTAAGAAATACACGAAGAGTAAGTTTCAAACGAATTTATACCGTTATACAATGCACTATTGATTTAGAGGAAAATATTTTATCAATTTCTTACCGAATGATTTTCTTCAGTTAATGTATTTATTTGTTCACGTTGACTAAGTATACATTGTATACTATCGATACGTTCTTGACTAAAAATTTCTTGTTTAGTTTTACGTAATATAAAATTCAATTCAACTTACTGTCTTTCAATTAAAAGTTTTCGCCGATTAGATGCTTGTTTTGCAAGAATATCCAATGCTTTCTTTGTACAATACTTCCAATAATACATCTTCAAAAATCAAAACTCTAAAATTTTTGTTTTTCTACAAATAAATCTTACTGATGTTTCATCCATTGATACAACTACTTGATTATCATCTGTTCTGGAAGGCGAAGTGTTTAACAAACAAGGAGCATTTTCTTGAATAGTATTTTCTTTTGTTAACGTTATATGATCTGAATCAATAGGAAAAAAAAATCATACATTTCACATCTTTTTACTACGGCTTGTTGAATATTAAGTAAGTATTACCCGTCTTTGGAATATCATTTGTTATATTCTCTCCAATGTTATTATCATTTTGTTTATTTTTACGACGTAATCGTTTTGGTATTTTATTTTTTAATTTATGTTTGCTACTTGATTCACTGTTACGTAAAGATTCCGTTGGCATAATTGTCGTCTAGAAAGTTTTAACAAAATTTAATAGAAAAAAACAAAAATAAATTCTTTATGAAGATCGTTACTTTTTCTGTGAGAACACTGAATGGAATAGAAATCGTTTGTTCAAGCGACAAATCAAACAAATAAATTATTATATCACACTAGAGAATTGTACGTTCACGACCAATAAAAATTGTTCGACAAATACCCATGTCAGTGCGTACAGATCATCTCCAACGAACATCGATGTATTTTAATCCATACTTTATTGGTTCATTGTATTGCGTACTAGTAATATGAACCAATCATGAAATAGCGGTAACTACTACAGTGTATAGTAAAAATTATTTTTTTTTTTTGCAATACTTATATGAATAATTCAAATAATCATGAAATACTTCCATATGTATGGCTTAAATGAATTAAAAGATAATAATGGACAAAAAAAGTGGAAAGAATCCCGTTATAATAATTTTCTAAGTCTTTAAATTGTATTATAATAATGCCATTATAATGTATTTTTAATCAGAAAAGAATCTGTTATAATCAAATTTTTCTGTTTTTTCTTTTATAGATGAGCTAGCCTATTTTCCTAGTGGCTTCTGATTTTCACGGTCTTAATGGTCCAGAAATATGAGCATAAGTGTGTCCAACTGACGAGTTTCTAGTCATCATCAAAACGCAGCTCTACACTTTGACCTCACGCTTTCGTATAGTGTGATAATGACCTCGAATCATTCTAAATATATTGATTATGGTCACAAAAGGTTAGCCAGCCAAATAGAGTTTTAATTCAGTATTATATTAAGATTTTGAACGTAGAGATTTTGAGCTCACTTTTTCTAGCCTGTTTTTAATCATCTGTCAGAAACTTTCGGTGATGGATGATTTCAATTTATGTTGTCATTAGATGATATCAGAAAAGATTCTGTATTGTTGTGGAAATTTCGCTAACTGTTGCATCAGGCAACTATAATAATATTTAGGTATTGAGAAACGTAGAAAAATGAAGTCCGATATAAAAATCGAACTTTGCAACTCGTATTATCTTTCTATCAGCAGCAGTAGCAGTATTATGCGAATTGGGAAGCCTCTCAATTGTGTTAAATAATGATTTCAGACAAGAAAACATCAAACTTATTAATTCTTATTAAACTACTATATCTATATTGAAAACACCAGGTAAAGCAAAACATAGAAATGTTGTCCAATATCAGTCGTTGTAAGTTAGTATATGAAAAATGTTCAATGACTTCCTTCTTCGCTCTTAGTATTGACGTATATGAAACGTGACCGACTAAAATAGAAGTCATTACTATTAGAAAACTCTACAGTTATTTGAGTTTGACATTGTATATCTTCATGAAACTGTACTAATAAATTTTTTCTGAAACGAGCTAATAACTTAATTAATATATGAGTGATTTGCATAGGCATTGTNTATTTAATTGGATTTTTAGTGAAAAATGTAAAAAAAAACCAAGCGGACACAGATAGCACCCAAATAACTAAAGAAAAAAAGGCATTTTTCAGTTTTCTTGCAAACCTATCTAGTTTTTCGTATCAAGAGGTAGAAGCAAGTATTTCATCTCATTATAATTTTCACGCAGTGACCTACAAAACTACGCATTTTGTTTTTTCCTAGTTTGTTTCATTGTTGAGAAAATTCAATTTTTTCCTTGTTTGGTAGAAAAACGAAATAAGAAGGCAAAAAATGCCATTGTATTTAGAGGCTTTTAGTCTCACAAATCAATTTTAAAAGAAAATAAATAGCATATTGGGAATCAGCGTCCAAAACTACGTCGAATCATGTATGTTTCCGTTGAAATTATTTTTAATGAAAAATGCGCCTGTGGTCCCCCTCAGGTCATTTTTTCTAAAATATTGTCCCTACTCCCCTAGAGGTCAGTTTTGGGTCGGAAACCAAATTTCGTGAAACGCGTATGATTCGACATAGTTTTGGACGCTGATTCCGAATATGCTATTTATTTTCTTTTAAAATTGATTTGTGAGACTAAAAGCCTCTAAATACAATGACATTTTTTGCCTTCTTATTTCGTTTTGCTACCAAACAAGGAAAAAATTGAATTTTCTCAACAATGAAACAAACTAGAAAAACAAAATGTGTAGTTTTGTAGGTCACTGCGTGAAAATTATAATGAGATGAAATACTTGCTTCTACCTCTTGATACGAAAAACTGGATAGGTTTGCAAGAAAACTGAAAAATGCCTTTTTTTTTTTTAGTTATTTGGGTGCTATCTGTAACGATAAAATGGAGAGAGGGATGTTAGATGATAGACTGGAGGAGTAGCTTACCGCCACCCTCAGTAATGATGTTTATTAGCTACTTCACATCTCCAGAATGTGCCTATTACACATTCAACAGACGCTTATATATGACAGAGAAACAAAGAGAGAGAGAGAGAAAGAGACGACACAGAAATAACAATAAAGAGAGGAAGAGGAAAGAAGAAGAGCAGAGAGCCATGACGCATATATCGGCACACTATCTGTGTCCGCTTGGTTTTTTTTACATTTTTCACTAAAAATCCAATTAAATAACAATATTTTACTCAGTTTTGAATGCTGAATCAGAATACAATATTTTCACAAAGTTTAAGAAAGTAAAATAATCGAAATCTTACAATTTCTGTCAAAAAAACCTAATTCGTATTTAGCAAAGTGACATTTTTCCTCATCATAGTCTTTCAGTTGTTTTTTCTAGCAAAAAATGATGTGATCGAAATAAAAACTATATATTCGTGATCAACTCGTCGAACTCTATCAAACCATATATGAATGAATGAAAAAATAAAACTGCTGAAATTTTGCATTACGCGCACCTTACCTACAGTATGTCTCGCTACAGTATATATTGAAAAAACCAAACGAAAATAATGGTCATCGAAAAGAAGATCATTGGTATAGATCATGCAAAGAAAAATTCGGCGATCTTTATTTCGATAATGAAGTACACAATCAAATTGATAAAACTGATAGTAAACAAACTTTATGAAGTGAAATTGTTGAAATAGTCTTGTATATCTCTTACAAGTTCTAGCTTTTTAAAAAATATAAAGCAGCATATAATTGTTATACCTATATTGAAGATATATTCAGAAGTTTTTATTTCGAGTGTTTAAATTTCTTCAATTTTGATACAAAATAGCTGAAACAAGATGTTTTTCAAAAACTAAGATATCTTTTAAAAAAAATCATATTATGTTAATTATTTAGAAAAGAAAAGCTAAAATAATTTTTTGTTTTTTTTTATATTTATTGTTATCTTTAATCGATTATACAATGCAAAAATATCAATAAACTAAGTCATACTTTTTTTTTTTATACATAGCATTAATATAATTCAACAATTCGTTTTGCTTCACGTATACCAGTCATGTAAGCTCCATGCGTTGTTCCATAAAATCTTTCATGTGTACCTTCACCAGCAAAAAGAAGAAGTGGTTTAGCTGGTTTATTAGGCCATGGTACAGCTAATTGTTTAATATCATGTATACTTGAACCAAGTTTAATAAATGTATGTGTACCACGTATAAATGGTTGATTAAACCATCGAGATCTAATTAATTGTTCAGGTAATGGACTTTGATTATCAGGATAAAAAAGACAAAGTAGTTCTTGAAATGCCATTGCAAGTAATTCATCTGAAATTGTTTCAATATATTTTGCTGCTTCACCACTTATTTGTGTTGCAAGAACATTTGATAATTGATGATGAACATAAAAGCCAGTTATACTTTTACACCATTGGCTCTTTAGAAAAAAAAGAAGAAAGAAATGAAAGAAAGTGATAATGAAATATTTTATATAAAACAAGAAGCAAAAAAACAAAATTTTTAACTTTACACTAAAAGATGTATTAGCAAAACATTTTAATTTCCATTCTGCATCTAATCGATTTGTATCCCATAAAAAATTAAATGTTTCAAAATCAACATCCCAAAATGGTTGAGAAAAAACAAGATAAATCTATTTAAAAAAATAAACAAACAAATAAAAAAATTCTAAATACAATCAAATGATTTATTAAACAAACTTTATTCATTGTACCAAAACCTAATTTTTGTATACACATTCGTTTAGCATGTGGTAATGGTGGAATAAATATTTGATGCATTGATTGTTTAAGACAACCAACAGATTGTGTACAAACAACATGTTTAGCTCGATAAATTATTGATTGTTGATTATTTTTAAGAATTTCAATATCAACATATTGTTCTTCTTCATGAATAGATATATGTTTAACAATAGTATTCAATTCAATTTTATTTTCATTTATTTTATTAATAAATATTCTTTGTAAAAAATTTAAAAAACCTCCATGAATATAAGTTGTTTCATTATTATATTGATTATTTGAGGGTAAACGTTCAAGAGAATTCCATCCTAAGAGAATAGAAAATTGAACTTCATTTAACCTTAGGCAATATATGTCCATCCAACTTGACTTTTATAGGCAAAAAGAAAAGAATTATGGTTATTTCTGTCAAAAGAAATTTCGTTTGACAGTTTATATTCAAAATATTATTCTAATAATATATATTGAAATTTTGGCTTGATGATTTATATATAGTTATTTTTTATCAAATTACATGACGAAGTATTGTTTAATAATTGAACGTATTGACGAAAGTATTTGTTTGTGTGTGTATTCTATTTTCTGTATTTATTGATGTAGAAAAAAAGTCATGTCGAATTTCATAGGAAATTTTTCAAGAGAGAAGAAAAAAAAAGAAAGAACGCAGCTCTAACAGTAGGAAATATTTATTATGCAATCTGCTATTTGTTTCTATTTGGAAGACTTTATATTAATGAAATTTTCCATGCTCAATTTAGTTCATTTTACCTTGTACCGATACATCTGTTAATTTATTACAGCCAATTGTATTTAAATATGGATGTTGTTTACTAAGCCAATCAATAACTTTTTGTTGTTCATCTAATTCATCTTTATCTAATGTTAATTTTTTCATTGTAATATATTGTTCGAATTCGGCTGAAATAAATTCACCTAATGATAAATCAGGATAATTTTCATATGGATATGTTGGAACTTTTTTTTCTAATATTTCATCATAAACTTTTCGTACTTCATCAACAACATCTTCATCAATCGATTCAGCATCTTCATCATGATAACAATCATCTCGGTCAGATCCTTCTATAGAGAAAAATAATCTTATGGAACTATTATAATGCCATAAATGTGCGTTGCCGATCCTATGGTGAAACTTTATCTATCATGCTTGGTTTTTTTTTGACAGATTTTATTGTTCTAATGTCATACAATTGCATACTATATTTACTAAAGCAATTCATCTCTTGGGATATAGCTCTTGATATAAATTATGTTCGATTCAAATGAATCTGTCATGATCCGAAGAACTGGTGACTCTTCATGCGAAGCAAAATAATAAATAGAAGAAGAAACAAGAAGAACTGTTTGACTCCAAATAATAATGAAAAAAGATCAAATCACGTGTATGATTATCGTTTTTTTTTTAAATTTTTCGGAATATATAACTTTGTCAAAAAAAGTAAATGAAATAAAATCAAGAGAATTTTCTCCTTTATTCTTATCATACAATCTTACTGTCATCAATGTCAATAAGACGATGTTCTTCAGCTAATTGGTATAATGGATTATTTAATAATTCACCATGTAATGATTCAGCACCCAATTCAATTGGATGTTCAACTGAAATTTGAAATTTTTCTTTTTTCGTTTTATTTTTTCATAATTTATATTCATTAATAAAACACTCACAAAGTTCAATAGTTCGGCAACGACCACCAATTTGATCATGTGCTTCAATGATAACAAAATCATTAATACCATTTTCAATCAAATATTTTGCACATGAAAGACCGGCGATACCAGCTCCAACAATCACAACACGATAATGCTTCTCCATTAAAACCTTCAACTAAAATCTAAATGTAAAAAAAAAAAAATACAAAAAAAAACTTGAATGCTCAATAATAGGCGAATGATTGACAGCTACCAACACGACCAGCATTAAAGCAAAAAGAAACAGAATAAATTTATAAATTGCCATTGTCACAATAGTCGTCGTAATGGAAAGAACGAAGAGGGGAAAAAAATAACACGAGTGTGCCGTCGCTTTCACTCCATTGCCATCACACCGTGTAAGATTCCTTCGAGCAAATGAGTCTCAATACAGACACACAAACACGCACCGGAAATGATGATCGTGTGTCGTTAGGTTCCGCCCTTAGCTCACATCATTTTGACTATAACATGTATACTATGAAGAGAGAACGTTGACTTCGAAGAATATAGCTCAAAATGATACAAATGGAACACATTAGACTTCTTCTTCTTTCTTGTCTTCTATGTAATAATATAAAGTTGTGTTCAATACATGCCTATATCTCGGCTTCTAACCTAATTAAACCATCCGGTCTATCTGTCTCTGTTGTCTGATCAAATTAGGAAATATTCATTCTCTCGTTTCAAACTGAGTGTATGCATTTATGACTGCCGAGATTATATGAACAGAACAAAAATAGAGCATTATCAAACAAAAGCAAAAAACGGAAAGAAATCATTGAAAAAAGATCTTTTTTTTTTTTCAACCATTCGAAAGTAATTAATGAAGTTTAAAACGTTTTCAAATATCTTTAGAATAAATAGAAGGATTATTAGGGTTTTATTCTTCAAGCTGCTATAATCTTCACGATAAATGGAACTTTTTTTTTAGTACAAAATATGACTGCTTTTTATTTTCGGACTAATTCAAGAATACAATCAGCAAATATTAACGACTATATGAATGTGTATGCTGAACGAGCAAGATTTATAATAATAGGATTCAAAAAAACAAAAGAAAACAATAAGTAATTGAAATATTAATATATATAGTTTTCAAGTGATTAATAAATCATAATAGAACTTCATTCGTTTGATATTATACTCGAACAAAAAAACTGAATAGTTAGCGACAAAATATTCGGTACATCTTCATTTTAATTATAGCAGCACCTTAACACACAAGTAGTGTTCTATATGAAGAACATACAAAACATCATGAAGATGTGATTGAAGTAAAGATATGCCAATTATCTTTTACAAGGTGATTTTCAACTTGAGCATATTATACTAGTTTTTCAAAATCAAAAATATTTTGTATTGATTTCGTTATTATTTTACGTCACGTTACATTAGCGATGCATATACTTTAAAAAGAAAATTTGATTTTATCACTTATCAAAATATTGTATTTATATTTTCAATTTATTTTTCATGCATGATTTTTCTTATATCACATTCATTATTTTCCCCATAATTCTATCGACGTCAAAGGCCTTGAATCACTTCTATTTTTTTATGTTGTGTAGTAAAACTATGCAAAATTAATTTATTACGGTTATTTGTTTTAATAGCAGATTTCACATACTATATATATATATATATCTGTATGTTTAATACAAGAGATGCTCGAATATAATATACAATCAATCAATACAAACTTTAACAGTAACAAAATATACATGGAAAAAAGGCAAGTTATTATGATTGTTATTACGTATCTTAATAGTTTCATCAAATAGACTTAGTTTAATGAACCATCGAATCAATATCGAAATATCTACTTTGGTATACGCTGTAGGCATGTCATTTTCTTATAATTTCTTATTTGCGTCACTCGAATTAACAAAGAGAAATTGAGATTTTAATGAGCTACATGAAGTGCTGTTACTTGTTGCTCTATTAGGTTAGTATTAGATAGAGCAAAAATTCATAATACATTAAATAGTAAAGAAGTATTTCATAATTTAAGATGTTACGAGATTAGTAGAGGTAATAGTTATGTTTATTCAAGCTGCAAAATGTATCGCTCCTTCACACAATGTATGATTACACGAATGAAAAGACATAAGAAGACTGCATTCATGACTCACTGATCAACAAAACTTTAGTCATGATGATGAATAACGCATTTTATTAAAATAAAACAAGAAAGCATTTAATATTTGTATGATCGTTGCACTTTTATACGTAGAAAAAAAAAATATATATATAGATTTTCCATCTCCATTGAATCACCGTCACTATTCATAGACTTATAAAAATAACATTATAATGATTAATACGCTAGTGCTTTTGCCTTAAACTCAAGTTAAAATTTTGATATTTTTCCGTTTTAGTGTTTTTGCTCTTTTTTTATTTTTTTCATATGCAATAAAAGATAATTATTATGTTTTATGGTCATGTTCATATGGAGGCTATGACCCGCTTCAATTAATTTTACTCCAGAGAGTCACAGCCTATTAACAAATATAGATAGATATTCTTTTTTTTTGCGTAGCTTCTCTGGTCTCATCTTGATTTTTTTATTTCATGGTTAAGTGTGTTTATTATTGGTTTATAGATCTATTGTGCACTTATACACAGTAGCTATCATCATTTGCCAATAGCGATTTATTTAATTATTCTTATTCGGTTAGTTATAAAAGAAATGAACATTAATTCTGACAATGGTAGTGGTTATTGTGATTTTCGTTTTAGTATTGATCGCAAATGAAAGGAAGCAGAAAAATGATTGCACGTACTCATAAATACTACGATATGCTTATTAATAACGATCCATTGTTAGAAGAATCTATAAGTTAATAGAAAAGATAGTTGATTCTATCTGAAAATCGACTTGAGATGCCAGTCAAAAGATACAAATCGGCTAGTGTGTCAAGCATGATTAACTCTTCAAAAACTTAATGTTCATCACTTTATAAAACTCACCTATTCTAGTTCAGAGAAGCTTCCATTAGACAAATTTACTCTAGTATGCTTTTCAACTAGCTTATTAAGGTACTCTATGTGTTCTTTATACATCGTTTTTTATCATATACATACCGTATTGACACCGTACACAGTCTTTTACATCTGCCGTCTAGAACAACATTTGTAAATATTTCCCACATGGTTCAACTTTGGTAGCCTTATATAATTGTGTTTACAGCACAAAGGGCCATAAATATCTCGCTTTTTATTCTGAGCATTATCTTTACGGTTTTGGCATCTTCCTGTAATTATGATATTTTGTAGAGTACCATCTGTTCATAGCAACTACAGTCAAATATTAGGCATCAAGATCGGAAAACATAAAAAGTTTGATCTTGCTGGAATATTAAAAGCCAAACTTAAATTAAGAACCCTCACCTTGTACATGCAATGAAAAAATTTCAGATTTCTATGTATACTGAATAGCGATGCCAATGTTAATCACTATGAAATATAACCCAAAGGTATTTTAAAATAACGCAGCTGATTGTGTCATATACAACTCGACAAAAGCTGTCAATCAATATATACAACAACTCAAAACTGTTAATAGAAACTTAACATTGACAGCAAAATAAAGTTATTAAGAGACAACAAAGGGTAAGAGACAGTTTTACGACAAAACAATTCTTCGGAACATCGAGTAATGAAAAGTTTGATAGCGTCTGATAGAGCTCAATAAGAGCTGTCAATTGTCTAACATTACATGGTATCTAATTATAGATTTAAGATACTTTTATAACATAAAGTAGATATAGAGAGTAAACACTGATTGAATATCACAAGTGTATGACTTTGTACCCAAATTGGTTCAACGTATACGGTCGCTGTTTTCAGACCGAAAATCATTGTGTTTTAGCTATATGCAGTTGTTTACACTTTATATTGTTCGATCAAAGTAACAATAAACAAAGAGTTAATTTGTATATCACAGCGATTTATTTAGAATTGAAACTAAATATGTCACTCTTTGTTTTTAGATTCACGTAAAAAATTTTACTTTTATCCAAAAAAACGATTGATATCAAAGATTCTTGTGTAAATTTAAAGACGAACAAGAATCTAAGAGAGTAGATTGGATACTATAAATGCGGAACATATCATATACTAAGGAAGGCAGAAAAAAAGTGTTCTATTCTGATAGTTTTGCTAAATAAATTTAATCTACTGAACATATTTTAACAAAAATACTGTTCAATTAATATATGATATGCGCACCAATAAAATGTAATGCAAAAAAGTGCTTAGACATAAATAATAATAAAAAAAATTGAAGTCGGTAGCAATCATAGATTAGGTTCCGTTTCGTCGAAAGCTTAATTGATTTTTCTGTTTCGTCAAAAATGTACTTTTTTTCCATTCCCGTTTCGTCGAAAAAAAAAATTCTAATTAGTCAATGAAGAATAGATTATATCATTTGATGAGATTTTTTCGTCCTACTAATTACTCGTAGAAAAGTTTGTCAAAAAAAATTTATTATAGAGAAGATATAGATACATAAACAAGAAATTATTAAGAGAAGATATGAATATAGAAAAGAAAACAATCAATATTTTTTTATTCCGATTAATTGCATAACTTTTTCAAGTTATAATGATATTATTTGTTCTCTGTAACTTTTTTTTACTGGTTGCGGTGAATCTTCAATATGTCGTTTTAAATTCATTCTAAATTCTTCCACTCTACATTTCATTTCATCACCATCATGATTGTGTGATTTATTCATGCTTGGTGAACTTGAACCATATTGTATAGCACGTTCAGGACATGAACGATGTTCACATTTTCAATAAATAGCTTTGTTTAAAATGTTATCTTGTGTGTAGCGAAAAGTATCAAGTAATAATGTTGGTTTATTACGTTTACTTTCAACAATAGATAGCATTGTTTTGTGTAATAATGAATGAATATAACAAAAAAAAAATGAATTTTCCTTTTTTACTCCACATATATATACTTTTGCAAAATTACAGGTTACTAGTATAGAGATATCAATTAGTTTCTTTTAAAGGAAACAGTTTAAGTCAATCAAAGAAATTGAGCTTATCACTTTGATTATACTTTTTTCATTACAATTTAATTTTTCGACGAAACGGGAA